TTAGACCCCTCCTCCAGGTACCCCAAACTACTTGGCCACTCCTAGATCCCTCCCATAGTCTTTCTATATATAAGGTCCATCTTGTCTCCATTAAGATGCCGGGGTTTTTATAATCTAGCTACTGCTCAGATTTTCACAATCTAGCCAATAGCCCACAGATGCTCAGATTCCTTTAGAGTCTGGCTAATATGGTGAATCTTCAACAAACCTTGTTTTTGGCTGAAAGAAGGTTTGGGTCAAATTCCTTTAGGCCGGACCCATGTGTTGTGATTTTGGGTTCCAGGACCCCTAACCTCTAGACCTCATCATATGGTTCCCTGAGGCTTACTTACTCCCTTCCCTCTGCACCTCTGAATCCTCCTTCATGGAGATTACGGGGAAAGTTAGAAAGGCTAAAAATATCTTGGCAGATTCTGGAGGTTTTCTGGCCTATGAACTTGGGTAAGCATGCTCCACTGCTTACCCATGTTCAGACTCCTTAAGAGTCTGCCCAATATGACAATGTTCTAATAAACTTTGTCTTTGGATGAAAGAAGGCTTGGGTCAAATTCTTTCAGGCACGTGTGGGGTATGAAGACCTTTACCAATAAATTGGAGACTCAGAGATATTAGCAAAAAGGAGAGTTTGTTTATTGGCTTTCTCGAGAAGGGGCTCCCTCAGGGCACTCAAAAGATGGTGCAGACCAAAGACAGCTAAAGTGTGTTCAGCTCAGCAGATTATATAGATTCTAAACAAAATCCCCCCACCCACCCACCGGCTCTTCTTCCCATTGGTTGGGCTTCAGAGCTCACAGTCTAGGCATGAAAGAAAATCTTCCTATTCCATTAGCTGGGAGGCAGGGCTTACATTCTAGGCAAGAAAATTCAAAGACAAAGAACAAGGAAGCAGGGTATAGCCAATCCAAACATACAAGTCTTTAATTAGTAAACCTAATGCTGACGTATCAGTGGTGTGGTGATCAGGAGGGGGTTTAGGGCCGAATTCCCATGAGTTAGGTAATTCCTAGGAAACCAAAATTTACTGCAGTTTCCCCTCCCTAACCCCCTTCCCCCTTATCCCAGAGACTAGAGAAGGTGGGAAGCTAAGGGCAAGCAGTTCAGGTTGGGAGCAGGGCTTATTCTTTCTGTTGTGTGCTTAAAAACAGGTTCTGGGCAGGGGAGGGTTTTAAGAACTATTGATCCCCTGAGGAGGCTTCACTTTTGAGAGATCATCTCTCACAGGCAGGACCTGCATGTTGTGATTTTGGGGTCCCAGGGCCCCTGAACCCCTAAACCACATAATTTAATGTGAACTGGCATATATATATATATATATATATGTATATATACATATGTATATATTTGAACTGGTAGCCATTTTTCTCATTATAACAATCTTAGAATATGTCACCAATAGTAGAACTAACAGATCAAAAGCTGTTAAGCTCAGATTGCGAAAGGATTTGTACAAAATTTGCAAACTTCAACAAGGAAGATAGAGTGAATACAACTACTGAAGTGAACCTATTTAAATAGTATCAGGAAGCCCAAATGAACTGAGGTTTGGGAAAAGTGCTAAGGACAGAAAAAATGACCTTTTAAAAAGCTATGTTCCTGCTTTGAAAGATTTAAGAACTCTGTTCAATGCAATGACCAACCAGAGTTGTAAAGGACTGATGAAGAACATTACCCACTGTCTGACAGATAGGTGATAGAGCCAATGGGCAAAATGTGCCATACATTTTTGATCATGGCCAATGTGAAATTTTGGCTTGACTATGCATTTTTTCTTACAAAGGTTTTGCAATTTTTTTTTCCTTTCTCAATAGTGGGAGTTGAGGGAGGATGGAGGAGGGAGGGAGACAAAATGTTCTTTGTGACCCCATTTGGGGTTTTCTCAGCAAAAATACTGGATTGGTTTGCCATTTCCTTCTCCAGCTCATTTTACAGATGAGGAAACTGAGACAAACAGAATTAAGTGACTTGCCCAAGGTCACATAGCTAGTAAGTATCTGAGGCCTAATTTGAACTCAGGTCTTCCTGACTCCAGGCTAGGGGCTCTATCCACTGCACCACCTAAAGGAGACAAAATAAATGCATGTTAATTGAAAAAAAAATTGAAATTAATTTTAAGTTCACACGATGTTAACTTTGAAAAGATCAGAAATATTGGACTACTTTACTTTTATCTTCTCTAGCAATGAGAATTGTCTTTAAGCTGAAAAGGTAGAACAAAAATGGTTAAGAGGTAATTTAAATCCCATATAAATAAGGAGAGAAAAATAAAGAATATAATTGCTTTAAATGATTCAAGTCATCTGGCCCAAAAGAATTATATCCTGGGATAGTGAAAGAATTTACAGACATACTTGCTGAACTACTGTCAATTATCTTTGAGGAATCATGGAGAATAGAAGTGAGGCATAACTAGAGATGGGCAAACATGCCAATTTTCAAAAAGTAGAATAGTGTAAATCTGCAAAGACCGTTTAACTTGATGCTCATTGTCAGGTCACAAGAGCAGCAAGATGGTAGACTAGATATTTTGTCTGTTCCCCAAGCCTTAAATTACTTAAATTTCTCTAAAACAGAAATTATGCACCAATGATAATTATGCACCAAACTTCGGCTATCTTCGTGGTCTAGGACACTCAGAATAGAAAAGGAGATTTAAAAAAACACCACCGCCACCAAAAACCATGAACTAATTTACTGACGCAGCCCCCTGCTCTCCCTGGCTTCCTTCAGATCTCAGCTAAAGTCCCACCTTCAAGAAATCTTTCCTAGTCCTAAATAGAAGTATCTTTTCTTTGAGGTTACCTAATTTTTCCTGTCTATATCTTGTATGCACATAGTTTTTTGCAGCTTGTCTCCCCCATTAGGCAGTGAGTTCCTTGAGAGCAAGGACCCTCTGTTAGGTTTCCAATGCCAGGTGAGGGTGTCAATGGCTTTTCAATGATACCAGCGTACTTCTGTCTTTACTGTTGCAGCTATTCAATACCCTAAAATACCTAGTCTACTTAGAACGTTAAATATCAGAAACCAAATGAAGAGTGCTGATCTTGGACAAATGGGAGTGCATGATATCACCCAGAAAGAGAATGTAGAGAGAGAATAAAAGAGGAAAGGATAAAACCTTGGTGAACATTCACTTTAACAGGTTAAGAAGCGAATGAAAAGACAGAAACAGCTAGAGACATAATAGAGAACTAAATGAGTGTGATTTGATAGAAGCTGAGGGGGTTGCCCGCAAGGTCCAGTGCTGTACAGATGTCAAGCAAGAGGAGAAGTAAAACCAACTTCTTTGCATTTTGATAACCAGGAGAATTTGTGACCTTTGAGAGAGCAGTTTCAGTTTAACGGTGCAGACAAAAGCCTGTTTGCGAAGATAGCGTGAGTGAGGAGAGAATAGAAGCATTGGAGGTAAGTAGACAGCTTTTGAAGATGTTTGGTTTGAAAGGGGAAGAAAGAGATGGAACAGTAGCTGGCTGGGGGACATTCTGCTATGCTCATGCTTCTAACATTCACTATCTGGTTTTCATCTATCTTTCCAGAAGTATTTTACATTATGTCAAGACAAGACTTTAAAATGTTTTTATTTTTATATGTTTTCACATCAACTTCATTTTCACATGTATCCCTCTTGAGAGTCCCTGTGACAAAAAAAAAATTAGATTAAAAAAAGGGAAAAAAAAGTAGTTCAGCAAAATCAATCAATGTATTAGTGGTCAGTGGTATCTGACAGCTTATACAATATTCCATGGCCATAGCCTCCTACACAGAAATGTATTTTCTCAACTCTTCTCCAGGGACATCACAATTACAATTAGGAAGAATTTTTTTTTTTAGTAAACTAGGGGAGACCTGGGTATATTTTTAGGAAAATACAGAGGTATTGTGGAGAGAGAGATTGAGCATACATGAGAGAGGAGGAATGCTTTCTGGAGCAAGGTCCTGGAGGAGGCAGGAGGCGATGGGGGTTGAGGACACTGGTAGAAGAATTAGCTTTAAGAATATTATCCGGCCTCAGACACTTGACACTTATGAGCTGTGTGACCCTGGGCAAGTCACGTAACCTCATTTCCTAGCAAAAAAAAGAAAAAGAAAAAAAAAAGAATAGAGATAACTCTTCCTCTGAGATAGGAAGAGGGAAACCTGGGAGGTTTGGTCACAAACCTACACTACAATAATGGTGAGGTACAGATATAGAGAGTATATGTGGCCAAGGCACATTCCTGAGGTACTACAGGGCTCCTGGTGGGTGCTGGTGGGTGCCTCATCTCTGCTCCGTATGCCACTCAGCTAGGTTCTCTGGTCTGTTCCTTTTTGTAGGTCAGCTCCCCTCTTCAGAAGCATCCACTTGTAACTGGATTCTATCCTTCTCCTCCCTCAGCTGTACCTTGAGTGATAAATTCTAAAACTACTGCATAGGGCATCTCCGGTGGGACAAGTAGGTTCACTGTTAGCTGGCACGGCTGATGCAGTAAGTCGTGTAAACATACCCCCTTCCCCCCCACCTCCCCAATTTTGCTGTGCTCTGTCATAGGTGCAGAGGTCACACTATTTCTGGCCTGATTTCACCAGAACTGACTCCTCTCAAACAGCATGACTGTCTTTTAGGAGCTACCCAGGGACATGGCCCCTTTTGCTCAGCTGATATCAAGGTTTCCTTTCTAATTTGATCAAGAACAGCTTACTTCATGGACTGGCCCTGAAGTCGGGAGGACCTGAGTTCAAATCCAGCTTCAGACCAAACACTTGACACTTACTAGCTGTGAGACCCTGGGCAAGTCACTTAACCCCAATTGCCTAAAAAAAAACCCCAAAAACTTCTAACTTCATCAAGACATCCCCAGCCAGGAGATACTTTTCCAGTTAGTTTAACATCCCATCTGCCTTTTACTTTCTATGATTAGATCCTGGGCTTTCTCAGTTGGAAAGATTAGTTGAAGATCAACTCCTCTACATAGCTAACATTTAAAAAAACACTTTGTAGTTTATAAAGCACTAAATTACCTCAGGACAAAGGAGATATTCACAAGAATATTATCTGTTTGATGAAAGTGAGGAGTATCACGAGGTCCAGGGGATGAGGTGGTGACTAGTGAATCATTAAAGATGCAAAACTGGGTTAAAGCTGGATGTTATCTATTGAGGAGAAAGTGAAACCAGAATGGGGAAGATAAATGGAAGAACAGCAAGGGATTAAGGATTTGAAAGTCATAGGATCACATATTTAGAGCTGGAAGGAACCTCAGAGGGCGGCTCTGGGATTATTGAGTAAATTGTTGTATAGTCATTTTCAATCTTGTCCAACTCTTTGTGACCCCATTTGGGGTTTTCTTGGCAAAGATATTGGAGTAGTTTCTTATTTCCTTTTCCAGCTCACTTCACAGATGAGGAAACTGAGGCAAACAGGGTTAAATGACTTGCCCAGGGTCACACAGATAGTGTCTGAGGTTGCAGCTAGGCAGCACAGGGGATAGAGCACTTGCCCTGCAATTAGTAAGACCTGAGTTCAAATCTGGCCTCAGACACTTGACATTTATTAGCTGTGTCACCCTGAGCAAGTCACTTCACCCCATTGTCTCACCAAAAAAAAAAAATTAAATCTTAGGATATTGGAAGTGGCCCAGTTTCCTGAGATTGTGAGGACTATGATGGGATTGTGCTGGCCTGTGGCTTTCGTATAATGGGGAAAGGGATTGTTGGAATTGAGGAGACAGGAATTTTGTGATTAGAATATTTAGAGAGGTCATCATGATGAATATAGAAGTCTCCAAAGAGATGATGGGGATGGAGGTAGACAAGACTGTGGACTAGAGGCTGTGCTTCTTGAAAAAGGTAGGAGAATGGCCTGCAGCACCAAGAGCGGGGAGGAGCTAGCATTGCATACACTTCAAAGGAATAGTTAGGGAAGAAATTAAGTTACTCGATCAAGGTCAAACAGCTAGCAAATGGGAACTTGAAACCCTATCTGTTGACATGTAGAGAGAGTCTAGAACTATTTGTGGGGAGCAAGGAGAGATTTTGGGGTTGAAGTATTTGACGGAGAGGGGCCGTGGTGCCTCTGAGAGGAGGGAAAAGTCAGGTTTTATTTAAACAAAGGCAGCATTAGAGGTCAAAGGAAATTTGCTAAGAATAGAAAAGGAGGTCAGGGCACACTCTTAGGGCACATTACAATAGACTATGAGAGGTTACTTACTGGGTTGCTGTGCACTGGGGGAGGAGAAGGGCCGATCTGAATAGGGAGGAGAATTGAAAAGGAAACACACACGGCATGTTTCTATAGTGGTGAGACTGGAAGGCTGTGATTGTGGAACCAGCAGATGTGATGGAAGGCAAATTGGAGTCACATGTTGGCTGCAGGGAGAAGAGATTGCCCAACAGCAAACGTTAAAGAATAGAAGCCCTTGCAGAAGTAGTTGCCTCAAAGTAAGAAAGTGATTTTTTTTTTTTGCTTTTTGGTGAGGCAGTCAGGGTTAAGAGACTTGCCCAGGGTCACACAGCTAGTGTCAAGTGTCTGAGGCTGCATTTGAACTCAGGTCTAAGAAAGTATTTTTGAAAAGTACAAAATGAAGGAGCAGCATGGCACACGTTGGCTGTGTGACCCTGGCAAGTCACTTTCTCTAGGTTCACTTAGTAGCTAGTGTTTATGTAGCCTTTTAAGCTTTGCAAATTACTGTATAAACATCATCTCATTTTGTCGGGATTTTTCAGATAAGGGAAACTGAGATTAAGTAATTTGCCCAGGGTCACACTGCTAGCAAGTTATCTGGGGTTAGATGTGAATTCAAATCATCCTCAGTCCAGGTCCAGTGTTTGATCCACCAGGGCAGGTAGGTGCTGAGTTTCAGAGAAAGTGTTGACTTGGTAGGGAGAATTTCTTCACCTAAGAGTTCCCTGGTGAAATCATAATCACTCATCCCCTTTAAGGCAAATATACAAAAGTTTTGGTGGGTTTTTTTTTCCCCTGGTTTTTCTCTCCTGAGAATATCTTGTGTTCAGGGAAAAGAGAGTTAGTCTCCGCTGGTGTCCACCCTGTCTATATTGCCTGTATCCCCTGCTGCTCTTAACTCAGACTGCTGAATTCTCTCCTGGACGTGCCAGGGAGTGGGGCACACCTCGCTACACACGTGGATGTGAGAGAAGGGAGACTGGGAACGAGAGGGAAGAGTTATAATAGTACCTGTAAAGCTCTCAGAACAGTCTCTGGCCCATAGTAGGCAGTTATTAAATAATCGTTCCCTTCCCCCCACTAGCTTGTGTGACTAACCACGGGCCACTTAACCACTGTCTGCCTTAGCTCCTTCATTGGGAAAACAGAGCTGTTAGTAACATTTACCTCCCAGGGTTGTTGTAAGAACAAAAGAAGGTATTTGTAAATCACTTTGAAAACTTAAAAGTGCTACATAAAACCTTGCTGAGATTAAGCTGTAGCTTTAGCGAATGCCTCGTAGGTAAGTGCAAACTCTCTCTCTGTCTCTGTATCTGTACTTGTCTCTTTGTCCCTGTCTCTGTCTCTGTCTCCCTCCTCCCTGTCCTTCGTCTATCACATTCATCCAAGCAGCGTCCCGGTTACACATGCCCCAGAAACCCTGAAGTTCCCCTCTTGATCGCACAGACTAGAGACGTGATATGTCGTGGAAAATAATGTAGAAGTCGTCAGAAATAAGTCAACACTCATTTATGAAGGGCCTACTATGTTCTAGGATTAGTGCCAGGCAATGAAGAAACAAAGTCTGGAGAGAAACAGTTCCTGCACAGAGAATGAAGTTGAGTAAAGAGAAATCTGGTAAAAAGAAGCCCATTTGAAAACCTGAGTTCAGATCTCTCTCCCTTTCAGCTGTGTGACCATGGGCAGACCACCAGATGAAACCTCTCCTATCAGCCTCCTCCTCTCCTCTGTCACTGCCACTCTGGAGCAGGTCCTCATCTCCTCACACCTGGACGATTGAAATTGTCCCCAGTCCAATCCTGGCAGATAACTCTGGTGTAGCTGGCAAACTGCTCTTCCTAAAACACAGGTTTGACCGTCTTGTTCATCCTTGCGTTTGTGAATTGGATTTAAGCGAGGCAGTTGCACAAAGTCATTGGCCTCACTAGCCCTTACAGAGTCATAGATGCCTTGTGGTCACAGGTGGCCTTCTAGGTCCTTGAGTGAGGCCTTCTGAGTCCATGTTTTACATAACAAATGCTTTTATTAAGGGGATTTGTTCTGTGAAGTTTGGATTCAGTCAAAGGGTCACACTTGAGGATCTAGAGGGTCACATGTGGGTTCCCCACCCCTGGCCTAGATGCAGTGGGTGATGACCTCAGCATCTTTGATGCCTGACCAAGCTCTAAGCCTTTCACAGCATCTGCTTCATCTGCTTTCATGGCCATTGGAACAAATGGTTCTCATCCGCTTGTTCTACTGAGGAAAGTCTTCACACGCTTGGGGTAGACATCCCCCTAACTCACTGACAGTTCTGAGACCTGTTGGTTCCTCAGACTGGTTTAGCCTGTCTGCTGAGACAGTTCACTGGGGTGTGGCTTCTATGCATGCTACAGCTTCTTAGAGCCACAGGTGAGACTTGGGTGGCAGGTGGACACCAAGTGTGGATAAGCAGCCCTGAAAAGGCCTCAGCAGCCCTCACACCAGTGGTGCCAGTCCTCCCTGAACACCCCATTCACCCCTCTGACCATGTTAACCCCCTCCCTTCTTCCTCCAATTTAATAAACTTTCATGCCTGCCTATTATCTCCAGGACCAAACATAAAATCCTGTTTGGCTTTTAAAACCCTTCATAACCTATCTCCTACCTACCTTTGTAGTCTTCTTGCATCTTATTCCTTTGCCCATCCTCTACAGTCAAGTGATACGGGCCTCCTGGCTTTTCCTTGCACAAAACACTCCATCTCTTACCTATGGTCCTTTTCACTGACTGTCACTCGTGCCCAGAATTCTCTCCCTCCTCATTTCCATCTTCTGGTTTCCCAGGCTTCTTTCAGATCTCAGCTAGAATTCCACCATCTGCGAGAAGCTTTTCCTGGTCCTTCTTAATCCTAGTGCCTTCCATCTGAAATAACCTCCAGTTTTTCCTGTACATATCTTATTTGTACATGGTTGTTTGCATATTTTCTGCCCCATTAGAATGTGAGCTCTTTCAGTAAGGGCAGAGGCCACATCTTTGCCTTTCTTTGTATCCCAAGAGCTTAGCAGTGCCTGGCACATAGTAAACGCTTAGTAAATGTTTGTTGGCTGGCTAAACCTTTCTGGGCTTTATTTTCCTCATCTCTAAAATGGAGTTAGAAATATCTTTATTATTTACCTCACCGGGCTGTTAGTTGTGAGAATACTTGGTAAACCTTAACAGCACTAAATGAATGTGGACTTTTGTTCCTCAGTGTGACCCTGAACAAACTACATAACCTTTCTTGGCTTCAATTTCCTTACCTTTAGAACCACAATGCTTTGGATCTCAATAGGTAGTTACGGAGTAATAAATGAGATAAGCTATGCAAAGTACTTGTAAACCTCTTAGCACTACAGTGTATGAATGCAGTATGTTTATGGCAATTGTAGTAATAATAAAGGCATGAATGGGGGGAGGAAATCTGTAGAGGAAAAGCAAATGGCCAAAGACTGTAGATAGGGAAGGACTGGTTGTGTGAGATTAGGTCAGGAAATTATCTGCAAGTGATGGTGGAGCATGAGTCAGCGTGGCAGGACTGCCCATTCAATAGCATTAGTCCTCAAGCTAGAGAAATGATAAAGCATTTTTTTTTTTTGATGTGTGCCTTGTGTTTGTACTGCACTTTTACAAGATTTTTTTCCCAGGTACTTTCACACCCATATTCTATCTCATTTAATCCTTTCCACAATCATATCAGCTAAATATGGCAGGCATATGATTTCACAAATGAGGAAACTCAGGCCTAAGGAAGTAAAAAGATGTTGTTCAAGATCACACCACTCATTTGGATTTTTTTCTTTTGGCTAGGCAATAGGATTAAGTGACTTGCCCAGGGTCACACAGTTAATACATGATATGTGTCTAGGGCCAGATTTGAACTCAGGTCCTCCTGACTCCAGGGCCAGTGCTCTATCCACTGCACCACCTAGCCACCACCTAGTTGCCCCCTAGTCATTTGGATTTAATTCAACAGACATTCATCACTGTGGGCCTAGCAAGGCCTTAAGCTCCCCACAACTCCAGGAGCAGAGGACTTTGGGTATAGTTAATCCCTTTGGTAGAAGAGGAAACTGAGGTGGAAGAATTAGATAATTCCCTTAAAGTCACATAGCTCATAAGTAATAGGATTGAGACCTCAGCTCAGGTCTTCCAACCAAGTCCTATGTTTTTTCTACTACTACTACTAAGATTGCATATTATAATAATATTATTAATATAATAACAACAGCTAGATTTATAAAGTGCTTTAAGGTTTTCAAAGAGCTTTACAAACATCTCATTTTATCCTCACAACAATCAATGAGGTAAGTGCTATTATTATGCCCATTTTACAGATGAGAAAACGGAGGCAAACATTAACTTACTTGCCCAGGGTTACATAGCTGGTAAGTGTGTGAAGTCAAATTTGAACTCAGTTCTTCCTGACTCCCAGTCTAGCACTCTATCCATTGTATGTACACAAACCTCCAAACTTCTAAGGGAGCAGAAATACACATCCAAAATATAGCAACTATATTACTATTCCACATAAAGTATGATAAGATTTAATTTTTCCTTACATGACTTTTCTTTAAAATTATATATTTTTTTCAATGAACAAAAGTACACCTTCTCTCTCTCCCTCCTCACTTCTCCCTACCTCCCAATGAAAAAGAAAGAAAAACAAAATCCTTGTTACAAATATATGTAGTCAAGCAAAATAAATTCTTCCATTTATGAACCTGAGCCCATGACTGTTATCAGGAAGTAGCTATGAGGTGTATGGGGTGATTTCCTTATTTCACCCCTCGGGGCTAGGTAGTATTTTTAATCCCTTCCCCCCTGTTTTTTAAACAGATGAGGTAACTGAGGTTCAGAGAAGGAAAATGACCTGCCCCAGATCACAAACTGTTTATTAGCCATCAGAGCCAGCAGGTGAACCCTTTTCCTCATTCCAAGGTCCTCACTCTTTCAAATATAGCCTTCACATAAACAAATGCGCCCTCTCACCTAAAATTCACTCTTCATTAAACCTGAGCAGGCCCCTCTGCAATCAATAGCTAAGACCGGTCCATACCACTCACTTCTGGGGGACCTGGATGAAATAGAGACCCAGACCCTTAGCCTTTCATTGAACTGTCACGGATGTTCTGGAACCAGCTCCAACTGGTATCTTTAAATTTTCAGTATGAGAATTTCAGAAATTGGCTTGCTCTATTATTTCGTTGATGTCTGGATTTAAGAAACTAATCAGAAAAAATGTTAATAATGTAGATTAAATTTAAAATGTTATCAGACTGTAGGTTTTACTCCCCTTGGAAAAGCAGTTGTTAAAACATTTACCAGCTGACTGTATGTAACCTTTGTGTCATGCCAACTATAGAATCATAGAATATTCCAGCTGGACAGAACCTTACAGATAGTCTAGTCCAAACCTCTCATGTTCCATAAGCATGAGATGCCATGTTCAAAGTCACACAGCTATGTGTGTTGGGGGAAGGAGAGGAGAGAAGGGAGCTTCTTACCATCTGGGCTGGCACCACTGGCTGGGCAGTGGTGGGTGGCTTCTAGGCTACTTCCTCATCCCTATATGCTGACAGTGTCTCCCCCTTTCCTCTTCTCTCTTCCCCAAATTTTTTATAATCAGTGCAAGTCAATGAGCAAAGAGGTTTTGCAGAATGTGTTTTGGGCAAGAGGACTGGGACATGTTAACTGATCAGAATGTGGGACAAAGGCAGCACCAGGGAGCAGCTGCTGGCTCAAGGGACTCTTTCTTTAAATGGTAGAATCCTCCTTGCCATGACTAAAGGTCAGTCTGACTGCAGGGAGGTGGTATATCAGGAGGCCTTACCCACTTCCCACAAAAGGGACTTCCTAGGAAACTGAGGAGGGTACAGTGAAAAAAGAGGAAAAGAGTTTGAAGGTTCCTTTAGGCTAAAGGAACTCAAAGCTGGGGGGATGTAACTGAGTAGAAACACTCTTAGTACCCTAGAGATAAGGAAAGTCTGGCAAGCAATCTATTGACCCATCTCCCTTAGCTATATCCAAATCTCCATATTAGTGCCCTCCTCCACCCACTAACATGCTTTGCAGTTCTCCTGTGACCCAAATACCCTAAGTTTCAGTTCCCAAATTATTACATTAATATATATTTATATATTAATATATGTTTATATATTATATAAAAATATATATTTATAAATATAAATATATGATTTTTATATAAATATATTTATGTGTGTATACATATTTATGTACACATATACACACATATAAATATATATATATACATTCATGTGTACATACATGTATTATGTCTATTCTTTAGCACTTAAGATTTAGAAAATATTTCAGTCACTAAATATCAGCATGGAGGATGAAGTCATCATCGTTTCCACTCCTATAACTTCTGAATTTTCCTATTCTAGGCATTCTTTCCTCCCTGGGTTTTCATGACATTGCTCTCTCATGGCACCTTTGCCGTTAGGGGGGTGCCTCTTTCTTATTCTATGCTCCATGCCACAGCTCCTATGCATGCCTGTGCCCCACTCTCAGTCCTGGTCCTTCTTCTCTCATCCTGAAGGGTTCTACTACATTTCTGCACAGAGAATTCACAGATCTCTGTCTCCAGTCCTCATCTCTTTCCTGAACTCCTGTTATTTTGAGAGCTTTCCTGAGTTCCAACTTATCCTCAGCTTTCCTGAGTTTCAAATGATCACTTGCCTCTGGATATTCTGAACTGAGTATTCCACAGGCATCTCAAAATCATAGTTGTTGACCCCCACCCCAACCTTCCACTTTTCCTAACTTTTCTATGGCTGTCCACTGAAGCTTGAAAACTCCATGTCATCCTTCATTCCTCACTCGAACTCACTCCACATATCTAATGTGTTGTCAAATCTTATCTTTTCCACGACATCTCCCATATATGTCCCCTTATCTCCATTTACACAGAGCCTTAGTATCCTAATTTAGTGCCTCATCACCTCACACCTGGACTATTGTACCAGCCTTCTAGTTGGTCTACATGCTTCAGTCTATCCTCCTCTCAGCTGCTAAAGAGATCTTCTTAAAGCCCATGTAACATCCCCCTTCACTCCCCCATTCAAACAATTCCTGTTACTTCTTATTACTTCCAACATAAAATATAAATCTTCTGTTTACCATTTAAAGTCCTTCACAATCTGGTTCCTCTCTAGTTTTCCAGTCTTCTTACACTGTACTACCCTCCAGGAACTCTAGGATCTAGCTACAGTGGCCTTAATGCTCCTCCCATAGCATGCTGCCCCTCCCACAGCATGCTCCATCTCCTATTCTCTGGTTTTTCACTGGCTGTCCCCCAGGCCTGGAATGTTCTGTCCTCACCTCCACTCCCTCTATTCCATGGCCTCCTTCAAGATTCAGCTCAAAGCTGAACTCACCCATAAAACAGAAAGGGGTAGCAGAAAAGATAAAAAATCTGAATCCAACAATATGTTGTTTACAAGAAACATGTACACACAGAGTTAAAATGGAGGGTTGGAGTAAAATTGATTATGCTTTAGGTTAATTAAAATTGTAATTAATATGGCTAAAAAAGTTGTAGTACATGATTGTGACAGAATACTCCCGTGCTATGAGAAATGATAAGCTTGGGGCAGCTAGGTGGTGGCGTGAATAGAGCACAGGCCCTGGAGTCAGGAGGACTGACTTCAAATCTGGCCTCAGACACATGATACTCATTAGCTGTGTGACCCTAGGCAAGTTGCTTAACCCTGATTGCCTCGGGAAAAAAAAAAATGAGCTGAATGATCTTAGAAACACATGGAAAGACTTGATGAAATAACAAAGAGTGAAATGAGCAGAACCAAGAGAACACTGTATACAGTAAGTAATTTTGACTACTATAGATAGCCAAATTAATAATAAAGGACATATGAAGAAAGATGCTATCTGCATCCAGAGAAAGAACTGATAAATAGAAGTATTATAGAATAATTTCACACACACACACACATATACACACACATATATACTTATTTGTGTCTAATGATAGCCATCTCTAGGGTGGAGGGAAAGGGGGAAGGAGAAAAAAGGAAAAAAATGAAAAAAGAAAATTACAAACTTTATTATATATTTAAAAGGAATAGCAAGTTGTACATAGTAGTTTTGCAGTTTCATGTGCAATCATCTTTTTTATTATAGTACATTATGGAAATGCTTGTTTTATTCAATAAATTAAAATTTTAAATTAAAAAAAATAGTAAAAGCTGTGTGATCCCGGGCAAGTCGCTTAACCCAAATTGCCTCCCCCCCACCAAAAAAAAAAAAAAAGATAGCTCAAATTCCTCCTCTGTAAGAAGCCCTTTCCAATCTCCCCAGGCCCTTTCCCTCTGAAACTACTTTCCAATTACAGTATTTTATGTGTTGTATGCACAGTTAGTTAGTTGCATGTTGTCTTTTTTACTAAAATGTGAGCTCCTTGAGAGCAGAGGTGGTATTTATTTATTTAACTCTTTTTGTGTCCTCACCACTTAATATAGTACCTGCAACATTGTAGTTGACTAACTGAAGAAAAAATTAAAAACGTGAGATTCTATTCTGGGTCTCAGCTTATTCATCTCTAAAATGTGGGGGTTGGAATAAGTAACCTCTAAGATTTCTTCCAGCTTTATGTCTATGATATATGGACCAATTAGAAGACTATTTTAGACCAAGGTAGATGGGAAGGAAGGTCTCTACTTCCCTAGTGGTAATTAGGGATTTGTAATTAGGTGAATAGGGTATATTAGGAATTTTATATATAATAGGTGAAGGGGGATGGATTCAAGAGATGTCAAAGAGGTATAATCAATGGGACTGCTGAATGAATGTGTGAAATAAGGGAGAGAGAAAGGTTAAAGATACGCTTAAGTTTTTGACCATGGGTAACTAGGTATTTGGTGATAACATTACTAGAAACAGGAAAGATATAAAGAGTCAGTAGGGAGCATCCAGGTGGCTCAGTGGATAGAGCACCAGTCCTGCAATCAGGAAGACTCATCTTCCTGAGCTCAAATCCAGCCTCAGACACTTACTAAGCTGTGCATCCCTGGACAACTCACTTAATCCTATTTACCTCAGTTTCCTCATCTGTAAAATGAGCTGGAGAAGTAAATGGTAAAACATTCCAGTATCTTTGCCAAGAAAACCCAAATGGGGTCACAAAGAATCAGAAGTGACAGAACAACAACAAAAGAGTCAATTTGGGAAGAAAGATCACTTCAATTTTGGACTTGTACTACTAGGTACTTGAAGTACTACTAAGACATATATGAGGAGGTGTCCAGTGGGTAGTTAGAAATGTGGGTCTGGAGTCATCTATGTATTGGCGATGGTTATAGCCAAGGGAGCAGATGAGATTGTAAAGGGATAGTGTAGAGAGAAAAAGATAAGAAAGCTGAAGGCAGGTGTAACCAAACTAGACTACTAGCTAGTCTAAGCATTTACAACTTCTTCTCCTGCCACCATGTATTTACATGGACTCTCTCATATGCCTGGAATCTATGCCCTTCTGATCTCTTCCTCTTTAAATCGATATTTTCTTTCTTTTAAAATAAATAGATTTTAAAAAATCAACATTTGCTTTTACATATTTTGCATTTGGCAACTAGGTATTAGAGAGGTGGGGTGGCCAAGCTAGACTTGGAGTCAGAATGACCTGAATTCAAATCCTGCCTCAGACACTTATTAGGTCTAGGTAAGTCACCTAACCTTTGTCAGTCTCAGTTACCTCATCTATCAAATGGGGATAACAATAGCACCTACCTCACAGGACTGATCAAATGAAATAATACGTGTACAATCTACAAACTTTAAAGCATCCCATTAGCTATTATTTTGCGTTCTTTCTGCACTTCAGGTGTCACCTTCTACCTGAAGCCTTTTCAGATCCCTTCAGCTCATGAAGCTTTCTTGATCTGGAAATTATCTTGTATGTGCTTATCTGTGTATCTGTTGCTTCAGCTCCTTACCTCCCCAGCATTTAAGTTCCTTGAAGGCAGGGGCTCTACAGCATGTCTGTCTTTGTAACTTGAACACTTGACAAACTTTTAATGAACTGAATTGGCTAAGCAGCCAATTTAAGGTCTTCACTGGGAAGAACAGCTTTCAAAGGTAGAGAGGAAACTGTAAAAACTGATAGCTTTTGGTATATTGGGATGCTAAGAGAGAAAAGATTATCTATGAATGATCTTGGTTAGGATACATTTAGATACATTCCTTTCAACAGCAGCTGTCCCCAAGCCCTATCCATTGATAGGAGTACCATCTCTCTCTATCCCCAGCACAACTCCAACTCTCAAGAAAATGGAGCTATGTATAGTGCTGGCCCAGGTTGCAATCTGAAGAGATTACGATCTAATAAATGAAGGGGTTAGATCATCTCTTGAGGTCCCTTTCATCTTTAAATTTCTGAACCAATGAGGCAAAATTCTATGAAACAGAAAATAATTAATTGGTGCTGAGTTGTGTGGCTCTGACTGGGAGTACAATAGGAATTCACAAGAGATCACAAGATCCCCATGAATTGTAATAATTAATCAAGAATAGGAGATTCATGGAGAACATACTTTGCCCACATTAGGTGCTCCATTATATATTTGTTGACTGACTGACTCAGTACTTGAATGAATGAATGAATGAATGAATGAAGTGGACCACAGCTAGGTCTTGAAGGATGGGTTGAGGGAGAAAGAAAGGGAAAATGAAGGGGACTAGGTTCTCTTTGACTTCACTGGCAGAGAATCCTGTTCCCCTGGTTTTAAGATCATAAAACTATTTCAGCAGATGTAGCTCTAGGTTCCTTCTAGACCTTCCTTCTAGACCTAAGGGTCTATGCCAACTAACTTCCTTAAAGCATTGGATTGTATCTGTGGTGCTCCTTAAAACCAATCCTTTCTAAAATCCTGAATATCTAGCTTTAGCATTTCCAACATGAGTCAATTAGAGCACACAGCAGCAAGATTCTACCAGGCTACTGGAGCATAAAAATGAATTTTGTTTTTTAACCGATAAACTTTGTGCTGTCAGAAAGTATAGAGAGTATTATAGTCTGCTCAGACATTGATTTTGTGGCAGTCCTAATTCAATGTCTACTATTTTCCCCAAACATTATGTCATAAAAGTGGAAGAAGAGATCTTAAGAGGTCATTGTTGTGGGAGTTTTCTCAGCCTGGAGTGTTCCTGGAGTGTTCCAGTGAGAATTCCACCCACCAGCTATCTTGTTGTCTTGGGGGTCAAATAACTTGAATAGCAAAATTAAAAAGATTTATTCCCCTGCTAAGGAAGTCTGCTCTGGCTAGAAGCATCTCTAGTTTCTTAGGGTACAGGCTGGGTTTTTATAGCTTTTAAGGTTTTCCTCTAGCATACAACCCATCAGTGGTGCTCAGTGCTCTGTGGCAGAAAAGTAAAAGAGGGGGTGGGGTCAGGTGTTTAAGTCTCAGAATCAGAGAGTTGATAAAAATCAGGTGGGATCTGCTGTGGGAAAACGATTTTCTCTGTAGTTAGCAATCTCTAAGATAATGGAGGCTGCCTTCAAGACAGAATCTGACTCAATCTGTGGTTCTAACAAGTAAGGAGAGAAATAAAATAAAGCCTGAGATTTTCTATTGACACAACCCCATAACTCTGTTTGTTTGGTCTCCCTATCTGAGGAGATTTTCCTGTACTCACATATATCCTCCTCCAACTCCTCATCCTACCTTGATTCTAACATTTATTATTTTTCCATAAACATCAAGAAGGTCTTAGGTCACTCTCGAGCGTGAAAGAAACTAAAAGGCAAAGAGTAGAAAGAGGGAGGTATTGGGGATGAAGGTTGTAGAGCACCAGACAATGGCTCACATGTACTTTAGGCTGGTTCCATGCTATAAATTATCTTTCAAAATATTAAAGTGAGGTGGCCAGGAAATGACTACAAGTTCAATCAAATTAACTTTGTCACAAACTGTTCTTGATGTCAACCGCTAATCCAGTTTAAAGACGTTTAAAAATATCTGCTTGTACCAGCCACAATCCCAAGGGGAACCATATGGGAAAAGGTCCAGCTATTCTTTGAATCAAATATGGTGAATTCAAACAAATGGGTAAGTCAGAAAGTCACGAATTTGAGAATTAGAAGGGATCTCAGTGGCCATGTAGTCTAACCCATACATGAAAGGAATCCCTGCTATAATATACCCACCAAGTGGATCATCCAGCTTCTA